GTATTTATCACAATGGAGGACAACGAGGCACCAAAAAGGCACAGATGGGAAGGGAGGCAGAGCACAGGCTTGGGGCTTTAGAGTTTTTGGAGGTTCAGTCTGGTGGCCACTCCTGAGCCTGTTCTACACTGTCTACTAGATAACTTTCTTCTTTCTGGAAGTCTCCAGCTGCTGCAATGGAAACCCTAGCCAGGCTCTTACACTAGGTAGCTGGCCTCACATGAGCATACTGTCATAGGTTTCAATTGTGTGGATGTACCTTCCATGTGCTGTGGTTGCAAGTGACAGAAAACTCAACCCAATGCTGCTTAAGCAAAGAAGGAATTTAGAGGCTCCATGACTGAAGGGTTTAGGGATGTGGTTTCAGCTGTGGCTTGATTCTGGAACTAATCACTGTGATCAGGAGAATGCAAAGCTCTGCCTGGTTGAGCCTGAGTCATGCTGGACCAATAGGAACAGGAGAGGGGGGTCAGTGCCATTATCTGAAGAAAAGGGCTGAGAGTTGAGAAAGAGAAGTTCACTGGAAGAAAATCATCAGGGCTGTTATGCCAAAATTAGGGCAAATGGATGTTTGCCTGACCCAGAGTAGTCAGCATTTCCTACTGGGGTCTTATAGTATGGAGGAAGAATGTAGAGCCTGTTGATCAGTTTGTGTATCTACAGGCTTGGTAGGCTTGAAGGTTTTGAGGAGCACTGTGGTGGGAACCTCATGTTGATTGAGGGGTGGTAAATAGTACTTGTAAGTAACAGATGGCTTGACTCTTTCCTGTCAACAGATGTATGCTGGAAAATGTCTGGCTTACATTCCCATACACCCCCTCTATCCTCCAATAGAGTAACTCTGGGGGGGAAAGGTATAGTCATTCCCAGGAATGGAAGGAGGAAGAACTAAACCTCTACACCAACCCCTTAGTTGACATGATTTGTCAACACTTTTTTCCCTTCTAAATAGATCTTATTTTTATAAGATCCATAGCAAAATTGAGCAGACAATCTGAGATTATTCATATACTCCCACACAAGAGTGGTACATTTGTTACAACTTATGAGCCAGCACGGACACACCATTACCCAGAATCCACAGTCACATCAGGGTTCACTCTTGGTGTTGTGCATTCTATAGGTTTGGACAAATATATAATGACAGCTTTATACTATTACAGTACCCTATGCTAAAAGTTGTCTCTTATTCACCTATTAATTCCTCCCTTTCCCCTTCCCTTGGAAACCACTGATCTGTCTCCATAGTTTTGCCTTTTAGTTGAAATAATACACTATGTAATCTTTTGAGATAAACTTCACTTAATAATATCCACTTAAGCTTCTTCCAACTCTTTTTATGGCCTGATAGATAATTTTTTTAGCACTAAATATTAATATTCCAATGACTGGATGTACCACAGTTTATCCATTCACCTAGACTTCTTTCAAGCTTTGTCATTTATGGATAAAGGTGTTATAAACATCATGTGCGAGTTTTATGTAGACATACCTAGTCAAGTCTTTTGGAGTTTTGCTGTTTTAATTCATGATTCCATGATGACATTTGATGGGGGAACATCTCTTCATATGTTTACTAGTCACTTGAATAGATTCTTCACTGAGGTGTGTGTTCAGGTCTTTGACTTTTTATTTATTATTATTTTAAAAACTAGGTTGTTTGTTTTCCTATAGAGTTCATTTTAAGAGTTCTTTGGGAATTTTGGATAACATTCTCTTATCAGAGATGTCTTTTGCAAATATATTCTTTCAGTCTGTGTTCTGTCTTCAGGCACCTTCACATAAGTTGAACTAGTGTGTTTTTCTCTGAATGTCTTTGTTAATAGGGCCAGAATAATGGAGGTATGACACAAACACAGAGTCCAGAGTAGGATGGGGAATAGCAGGGTGAAAAGGAAGGAAGGCTCAGTTCAATACCAAAAACTGGAATGATCGAGTTGAATATACTCAAGGTCATGAACAGAAAAGAGCTGAGGGTGGCAGCATTGTGGCCATTTGTTGGGGCAGGATCTGAGTTAATGTTAGAACACTGACATAGGGACCAGCAGTTGGTGTAATGGCTATGTCGCTGGACTCCCACGTAATTGACCGCGGTTTGAGTCTTGGATCTGGTGGCTTAAACTCACGCTGGGTGTGTGTGCGTGCATGCCCAAGATACCAAGAGGAGAATGGAGGAGAAGGGATTGCAGTGTGACCATCCTCCCTGGGGGGTGATTTCTCACTTTCTGTCTCTCTCTGTCTTTCTGGTGAGCACACATGCCCTATAGCAAAAACCTTTCCAAAACAAACAAACAAACAAACAAACCCAAGACAGAAGACTGACATAGGGCTTACTTATCAGTAAGGGCTCAAACTGTCATTACTAATGAATTCCTTATAGCTGAATTCTCATGAAGTGCTCTTGGTGCTGGCCAAATCAGGAAGAATATACTTCATTTCTTCTGCTAACATCTATGAATCCAGGCTGAATGAACTGAACAAGCACCTCACTAAAGAATATATACAGATGGAAAAATAAGAATATGAAAAGATGCTCAGTATTATATAACATCAGAGAATCACAAATGAAAACAAGAAGTCAAAAGAAAAAAAAAAAAAAAACCTAACATTGAAAGACTGTAAGAGTGACTCAAAGAAGCAGCCTGATTCCTCAGTTCAGGTTTTCAAGCTAAATACAGAAGGTCAGGAGAGAAAAAAGGAAGATGGGAGGAAAGAAAGGAAAAAGGAAGGAAAGAAAGAAGGAAAAGAGAGAGGCAGAAATTTAAGCAAGCAGGGAAGCAAGAAATATAGAGCAGTTGTTACCACAGGTTTTCTAGGTGCATAAGTGCATGATTTAAAAATCAGAGGAGGGACCAGCAGTTAATGTAATGGCTATGTTGCTGAACTCTCATGTAGTCGACCCCAGTTGGAGTCCCAGACCCGGTGACTTAAACTCACGCTGGGTGCGTGTGCATGCATGCCCAGGATCCCAAAAGGAGAATGGAGGAGAAGGGACTGTGGTGTGGCCATCCCCCCTCGGGGGTGCTTTCTCACTTAATCTCTCTGTCTCTCTCTGTCTTTCTGGTGAGCACACATGCCCTATAGCAAAAACCTCTTAAAAAAAAAAAAATCAGAGGAGAGGGCCAGCAGGTGGAGTGGTGGTGAAGTGGTTAAGGAACTGGACTCCCACATGGCTGACCACAAGTCCTAGACCTGGCAGCTTGGAAATTGTTCTGGTCAGGTGTACATATGTGCCCAAAGTTCCAGGAGGAGAATGAAAGAGAGAGGATTGTGGTGTGGCCATCCTCCCCAGGGGGGTCATTTCTCACTTTCCCTCTCACTATCTTTCTCTGTCTATCTCCTCTCCAGTGAGCACAGGAGCCCTATGGCAAAAAACTCTAAGAAAAAAATATCAGAGGAATAAGGGGTCAGTAGGTAGAGTAGCTGTTAAGGCGTTGGGCTGCCTGTGACCGGCCATGGTTCAAGTTCCGCACACACTGTGTTGAAAATCAATTTGGGCATGTGGGTGGTCATTCCCCCAAAACCCAGGAAGATAGTGGAGAAGAAAGGCCTGCAGCCATCTCCCCATGGGTGATTTCTCACTTTCTCTCTTTCTCTCGGCAAGTGCAAACACCCTATGGCAAAAACTTAAAAAAAAAAAAATCAGAGGAGGCAAGCACAGGAGAAGATGTAGAGGACTCTTCTCTTCACGCCCACCCCACCATTCTGACTTAGGGTTCGCTCTTCCTCCCACCCACTCCTTTGCAAGGAGAATGAAAAGAGACCCATACAGGAGAGAAATTTGTCTAAGATCACACAGGTAGCTCAGGGAATTTGTGCTGGCAACTCTTCTACTTAAAAGCTCTAAAATATTAATTTCTTAGTACTTGAAGGATGTGATACAATTAGAACCTCAGACACAAATCGGAAGTCATTACGGGCTGAATAAAGGTAACAGAGAACAGATTTACAGAATTAGGGAAAAAAAAGCAGAAAGCAGATAACTTAATTTACATAATTCAGACTGCAGTGCAATTTAACAGCCATGGTGACAGCCTTGAAAGTTGTCTAGGAGAAATAACTCCCAAGTTATAAGAGCTCCTAAAGAAAAAGAAAATGGAAAGAACAGCAAAATAATTTTTGTTTTGGAAAACAAAAAAAACATTGTTTCCACATAATCGAGCTGTGAAATCATTGTCCTTGCCAATTTGTCACACATAGGAAGGGAAGTTTAATAAAGCAGAGCCATGGGGCTAGCAGGTGTCACACTGGTTACTGTGTTCGATTCCCACATAGCTGGCTGTGATTTAAGTCCTGAACCCGACAGCTTGAAAAATCACACCAGGTGTGTGTGTATGTGTGTGTGTGTGTGTGTGTGTGTGTGTGTGTGCACGTGCATGCCCAAAATCCCAGGAGGTGAATGGAGAAGGGATTGCAGTGAGGCAATTCTTCTGGTGGATGATTTCTTACTTTTCCTCTCTCTGTCTCTCCAGTGAGTGCATGCACCCTATGGCAACAATCTAAAAAAAAAATTAAAATATAAAAACAAAACAGAGCCACAGCAACTGGACCAATGGACATTCACACCAGGCTTCAAGCCTACTCCCCCACCCCCTTCCTATTTTCCAGTGGCTCCTTTGTGGTTATCCTTGTATGCTGTTTATGCTGTCAATGGTGCCAGCCCTGTCTGCCCTGTGGTCTCCAGTGTCAGGAAGGCTTTCCACAGTAATTAAAGCTCCTAAGTTGACCTGTTGAAAGGCTGGCTTGGTGGGAGTAGAATCACTGAGAAAGCTTGCCCCACACCCAGGATTTGATTCATGTGGTCTCTATGGGGACCCAGGTACTGATCTTTTCAAGAAAGCCTACAAGGGGACTGTAATGTGCATTGAAGGTTGAGAATGTTTTTAGCCCCCTGAGGTGGCTTAGTTTTTATAACTCAAAATTACAGAAGTTCAGGATCATAGGTAGAATTTTCTGAGGTCTCTATTAGATATATGAAGAAGTATTTTATTATACCATACCTGAAAGGAGTCTCCTACTGGTGGGCTGAGGAGCAGTCTTTCCTTCCCCTGAGAGTCCCACTGAGAATCCCTATGTCAGAAGCTGGGGCAACCTCTTTTGTTGGTTTGCTTGTGTGTTTTAGATGTAGTCACAGTGTAATATTGAATTCTAGCACAAAAGATGAACATACAAACAAGGAAAAAATGCACATTCACTAACTTCATCATCACAAATCAAAAGAATAAGGAGCTAAACTACCTGGAGATGATGAATACACTAGAGATAAAACCAGTGACCATACAGCATTCAGAAAAAAATGGTAGCGAATATAAAATATGTAGCATTAATTCAGACTTTAAAAAGAAAAATAAAATCTTACATGGAACATCTAACCAAGTAATTAAAATAATTAGAAAATCAACAAATCAGTCAACCCTTGCAAAAAAACTAATTGTAACAGTGAAAAATAATCAGAAAAAAATTAAACTGAAAGTTATATTAGCCCAAAAATGGAAACCAAGATTTGATTCTTTATTTAAAAGTATGAGTAAAAAGTCTAGGTTGACTGACCAACAAAAAAGAGAAAGGATATTATGAGAATATTAACTTGGCTTAAAAAGGCTATTATCATAATTTAAAAAGGTAATTATCAACATAGAAAAAATATATTTTTCCCTGATGTTTTATACTGGTTCATACAACTGTAACCACTAGAAAATACGGTGCAAATTATATTAAACTGTTTGAGATTCCAAACCGTCAAAGTTCAGAACTTGGGTTCTAAGGAAAACTTACTTTGCTCAGACTTGGAGGTTTTAAGAGCCAGGGAGATGGGTGCTGGGAATCCATGAATTCATTGCCACCATCCCCTCCCACCCACCACAGGGGTGCTATCAATCACTATCCCCTTCTGTCTCCTGGGAACTGCTCCAGGTCCACAAAATAACCAATGGGGTTCTCTGAAGGAGTGAAGCTCCGTGTTGACTCTGTTCCCACAGAGTTACTTTCTACCTGTGCTCCTTCCATATTCCTGAAGCCTCAGATCCTTATACCCACATTCAAGTAAACAAGGTTTTGTTTGTTTGTTTGTTTTTCGAGAGTTTTTTGCTATAGGGTGTGTGCGCTCACCAGAAAGACAGAGACAGAGAGACAGAAAGTGAGAAATCATCCCCCAGGGGGGATGGCCACGCCGCAATCCCTTCTCCTCCATTCTCCTCTCGGGATCTTGGGCACGCACGCACACACGCTGGGTGTGAGTTTAAGCCACCAGGTCCGGGACGCGAACCCACACGGTCGACTACATGGGTGTCCAGCGACATAGCCATTATGCTAACTGCTGGTCCCAACAAGTTTTTCTAAGAAGCAGCAAGATTTTTTTCACTTTTTCTTGAATAAAGATTTCCATGAAAGGGAGTAATAGAGCAAGTAGGGATGTTTTGTGGTCATCATTCTGATGTCACTACATTGAGTTTAACCACTTCTCAGTTGGTATAGGTTGTTTTCTTTCTTTTTTTTTTTTCTTTTTTTTTTTTGTCTATTTTGACTTGCTATTTATAAATTTATATTTTTGGATACCTTTTTTTAGTCAGAAAATTTCCATTTAATACTTTAAAGAAATTACCATTTCTTTGTTGAGATTTCCAAATATTTTCATTCATTATAGCCAGTCTTCAATTTAAGTTCTTGAACACATTTATAATGCTATTTTAGTCTCCATTTGCCAACTTCAGTATTATCTCTGAATCTCTTTCTATTGAGTAGATTTTCTCTTGGTTATGGGCTACATTTACTTGCTTCTTCACATGTCTAGTAGTTTCATATTATATAATGAACACTGTGGAGACTATGTTTTTGAGAGTCTGGAATTTATTGTCTTCCTTAAAAGAATGATGAGTTTTATACATTTACTGATGGATAAACTTGATCTTGCCGAGTCTTGGCTTTAGACCTTGTTAGGGTGGGTCTGGAGTTTCCCCTACTAAATGACTAGAGAAATAACTTCCTTTCTTTTTCTTTTTTCCCCCTTCTCTCTTTCCTCTCTTTTTTTCCTTTCTTCTTTCTTTCTCTCTCTCTTTTCTGCCTACCTTCCTTCTTTTCTTCCTTCCTTCCCTCCTTCCTTCCTTCCTCCTCCTCCTTCTCTCTTTCTCTTTCTCTTTTCTTCTTTTTTGTCACAGGGTGCATGTGTTTGCCAGACCGACACACACACACACACACACAGACACACACATACAGAGAGAGAGAAAAAGTGAGAAAGCAACTCCCAAGGGGGATGGTCATGTTACAATTCCTTCTCCTCCATATATCCTTCCTGTCTGAATTTTGGACACACATGCACATGCACCCAGTGTGTTCTTCAAGCCACTAGATCTGGGACTCAAATCATGCAATTCGCTATGTGAGATCCAGTTACCTTCACCACCATACCACTGACTGGCCAGAAAAATTTCCTTTAGTCATGGATTTTTATGAGATTTAAATTGAATGTCCAGGATGTTCAGCAAGATCTCTTCACTCTAGATGGTCACATGCCAAAGTTTCCCAGTATATGTGATCTCTGGAATCTCTGTTCAACTCTTTACCACTTCCTCGCCCTCCTCTCCAACACACAAGTGTCTGATCTCTGTTATACTTTGAGTATTTGATCAAAGATTCACGGTGATCCATATGCAGATTTCTAGGTATTCTCTCTGGTAACTTCCTTCTCTGACTACTCTCACTTTAGCAGTCCTTACCTTTGAACTCTGCTTCCTACACCCAGAAAGATGGCTGTTGTCTGAGCTGCACTTCCTAAAGCTGCATTTTGGAAAATGCCCTTATACAGGAAGCTGAAGTGAATGTAGAGCTTATTCTCAGTGCTTTTCTTATCTCAGGGATCACAGCCCTGCATGGTCTGGGATTTGGTTCTGACTACTCTCACTTTAGCAGTCCTTACCTTTGAACTCTGCTTCCTACACCCAGAAAGATGGCTGTTGTCTGAGCTGCACTTCCTAAAGCTGCATTTTGGAAAATGCCCTTATACAGGAAGCTGAAGTGAATGTAGAGCTTATTCTCAGTGCTTTTCTTATCTCAGGGATCACAGCCCTGCATGGTCTGGGATTTGGTTGATATATAATTAAATATATTATTATTATTATTTTGTTATTTTGTTGTAGTTGATCACAGCAGGAGGGTAAGTTTGATAGCTTTTTCTCCACTATAACTGGAACCAGAAGTGCTTTACTTCTATAGCTCTTCCATCACACGTTTACAGGTCATTTTTCGTAAAGATTGCTAATTTTATGTGTTCGAAGATCATTTTACTTGTTAACCTCTTAGAGCAGGAATCACCACTTAAATGTCTACAGGGGCTGGGTAAGTATACAAATGAGTAAAGGGGCTTGGATGGGGATTTTTTTGTTGTATTGGAAAGCAAGTGCCTGGTCTAAACTTTACATAATACGAGGTTCTAAGCAAGTGCTACGACAGAAGAACACGCTCCTGGATAGTTGACGCTCAGCTTCCAGAGCGGAGACAGAATTCCCAGAACAGCAGTGTCTCCTGAGAGAGTCTCACCTGCAGTCGTTAACATTTACTAACTAGAAACAAGGACTAGGGCTCTTCCCTGCAATAGGCTGGTCTGACAGTTACTGGAAAACTGCATTCCACTCAGGGAATAATTTTTCTTTTCTTTTCTTTTCTTTTCTTTTCTTTTCTTTTCTTTTCTTTTCTTTTCTTTTCTTTTCTTTTCTTTTCTTTTCTTTTTCTTTCCTTTTCTTTCTTTTTCTTCCTTTTTATTTTTTTTTTTAATTTGGTATAAGGTGTGTGCACTTGTTGGAGAGAGAGGGGGAAAGTGAGAAAGAACCTCCCAGGAGAATGGCCACACTGCAGTCCCATCTCCTCCATTTTGGGTACTCATGCACACATACTTGGCAAGTTTTTCAAGCAGCTGGATCCAGGACTCCAAATGTTCAGTCTGCCATGTGGGATTCAGCGACCTTAACCTCCATGCCACTTGCTGGCCCCATGGAACCATGCTTTTAAAGAGGCATAAGCCCTCTCCATCTCATGCAGAGAAGAGCGGCTAGGACCTTGTTGGTGTTCTACTTTACCATAGATTTGTAATAGAACTGAAGGTATTTAGAGTGATATCTTTTGTCTTAGTCATTTTTTGTTTGTTTGAATTAACTTTATTTTATTTATTTATTTATTTTAATTTGACCAGAGAGGGACAGAGTGAGAGAGACAGAGAGAAAGAGAAAGAGGGAAAGTAAGAAAGCAAGCTGCCAGGTCCTGGACTGGAACCTTGGTCAGCCATGTGGGAGTCTAGCTCCTTTAACCACCACACTACCTGCTGGACCCCTGTCTTAGTTTTTGTTTTATAAATTCACAGCAAAGAAACAGTCTTCTGATAGCAAGACATTTTCAGTGGGCCAAGCAGTGGAATGGGGAGTGTGCTTTGAGTCCCAAATCTGGTGGTCTGAGCAACACACTGGGCAATGCGTGCATGCATGCCCAAAATCTTGATGGCAGGGAAAAATGGAAGAGAAGGCCTTGCAACATGATCATTTCCCGTAAGGGGTGCTCCGACCTTTCTTTCTTTCTCTCTCTCCCTGTTTCTCCCTGTGTCTCTCTCCAATGAGTGCATGCATCCTCTAGCAAATGAAAAAAAATTAAAAATTTCAGCAATGATCTTCTCTTCCTTGCTATTTCTGATTTATGTATTATTTAGTGAAGCTATTTGCATGAGTTTTCATTTTTTTTCTCCGTAGGATTGCCATTTCTGTTTTAGCCCTATTCTGTTTTGTTTATGTTCTCATCTTTCAGATCTTGTTTTTGTGAAGTAAATTCTTATTCATTTACTCTATAGTGTAAAACAATCATACAGACTTTCCTTCAGTTCTTTCCCACAATAGCCTCAGGGCTGACTTGTCCACTGAGCACCAAGGGCACAATGCTTAGGGACACACTGCTTTTAAGGAGTCAGGCAAATGTTTTCATTTTTATTTCTTTTAAAGTCAGGAAAAGTCAATAATATTGACTATATAATATTGAGTCCACATCAGATTATATTAATCTTCATGCCAATCAGTTCATAAAATATACTTTTTCATATTCCTTTTTATGAGAGAAGGGGCCCACTGAGATAAAAGTTCCTAGAACCCACAAAAGTCAGAAGATGGCCCTGATTA